ATTTGTTGAGAAAATTTGTCCAAAATTAAGAAAAATTCTACTTCAATAGTTTGACGTACGTTATATATCACGTGATCGTCGGTACGTGCAAAAAATCACGTGACCTGTACGTGTCGGTTCGCGGGGGATCCCGCGTGATGCCCATCACTACGTCTAACCCATCTTCCTACTATATCTGCTTAATTTCCTTAATTCCGCAAATGTGCTATAATGCAAACATGGGGACCGTTCGGCAATTCCGATTTATGGAATAACTAAGAACCCAAAAGATGGTAACTACATGGTGGTTATTAAAACATCACATAGCTGATGGGCTTCGTGCAATTCACAAAGCAAGATTAGTGTATAAAAATTTTCATTCTAGAAATATTAATTCCTACATTACTGATTTTGGCTTATGTAAACCAATGTCGTATGTTTCCTTATATCGTTACAGAGGTGTTATATATAAATGGAAAGGAATACACTTAAAAAAAATCAGACATTTATTTTTTTTGAATAATTATGTCAGAAGTTTTTACTGGATGTCCTTCATATTATAATATTCCACATGATAAAGATCTAGCAATTAAAATTTGTCTAGGTTATAGACCTGACCTAAAATTAAATGCAAAGTTTCTAAACTACTTTGAATCTGATGAATATATGCTTAGATGCAGACCTCCAAAACAGACCAACTGCTGAAGAATTAGCTAATACGCTGTATCATCATCAGTGTATAAAATCTATGTGCACAATATGCTCATGAGCACATGCTTTTAAAAATTTTCACATGTTATTAGCTAGAATGTGCACGACATTCACAAATTTCTAGCCACGTAATGCACCAAATTTATTAATAAAATTTTAACTATGTGCACATAGTCTATTTTTATATATGTAAATTATATAGATATATTTATATAAAATAGTTTATATTCACTTAATACTTTAATGATTGTTTCTCTAAATTTTATATATGATTAAATAACTTAATAGGGTAAGCTTATTTTATTTATATATATCGATATATATATATACATAAATCGCATTTTGTAACTCCTAATTGAATCTAAATTACAGATTATTTACCTTACATATAATATGCAGAATAAACCATTCTTCATAAGTAGATTCGTGAAATTGTCATGCTAAATCATGAACAGATAAATGTAAGCCTAATTTAGAAAATGTTGAATTTAGATAAATAGATATCGGATATACAACCAAATACAACATAACTTTATTGATATAAATTTAAACAAGTAAGAAATTTTATCATGCCAATCTGCTATAATTTTCTAATGCTAACTCTAATAATATATAACACCGGAACAGATATTAAAAATAGAGATATTTCATAAATTTTAGTCAATCAGAACAAGTTTTTGACAAAAAAGGTTTTTTTATTCATCGCGAAAATGAACCTACTTCGCCAATTAAAAATTGGGCTTCGACCTATTAATTATGCTTGAGAGAACCTTAAATAAATAAAAATTTAAACAAGAAATTAATTAATATATTGATTGATAACGTTCAATTGATTAAATAAGAAAAAGTTCTGAAGACGCTTAATTGAAATATCATGTGAAAACCCGACATTATATGACAAAGAGTTTTGTAAACCAATTTTAACCTATTAAAGAATTTTTAGAGCTGTTGACGTTTGTATAGCTTATTTAAATACTATACTGATTTATAAAATAAAATCGCAATATACAAATATAAATTTTATAATTTTTTTTAATCACTTAAATATTTAGATATTAAATTATCTATTTTAAAACTTCTAACCTAGTATGCTTCTGAGAAAATTCAATTATCAAGTAATTAGCAACATACTAAAAAGACTATCCAATTATTTGGTTTAATAAAAATTTTAATTTTAAAACACTTATTTAGGTAGATTTATATTATTTTACTAATAATCGTTCTATAGATCTTTTAGTTTATAATTTACAAGCAAATTTATTTGTTATTTTATAATAAGTATTACAAACAGTTTATTTTACTAATAAATATAATTAATTTTATAATACACATAGTTTAAATTTGCGCACATATATTTTATAGTATTATTTATAGTGCACTAATTTTTAAAATTATTCACATAAATTAAGTGTACAATGTGCACAATATTCACATGTTTTTGAGGTGAGATTTTAAATGAACAAGAGACGAATTATTTAAACAAATTAAAGACTCGGGAAAATATATGAACAAGTAAAGTCAGCACGACTCAACTATCAAACGCATCCACAAGCATTTATACAAGTCGGCTTTTGAATATTTCAAATCTTCCTGAGCCAGGTAATAATATTTATTTAAAAAAAACAAAAAATTTTGAAAGTAATTTAATTATAAATTTTTTGAATTAATGAATGTAGTAAATGCATATTTTTTTAGGAAGTTGACCCATTGATCAAGTTGAAATTCCTTATGTTGAGTAATATATTCAATTATTCATAAAAAATTCGTTACTCATTTTATATTGGTTATTCTAGATTAATAAATCGTATCTTATGTAAAAATACATATTTTTATTAGTTGTATATTTTATATTTTATTTACATATGTTATTTACTCTGTAGGCAACGTCAATAAAAGTATTGTAGTTATAAGGTTAAGAACTTAAATTTTTGTGGTTTTTCTCGATCAACAATGCCTTCTTTTTCAACATAATTATTTTGACCAGTTATAACGCCCGCGCCCGCTATAAAATAAACAAATAACCGTAATTAAATTGGTTTAACTCGAAATATACACGTTTTTATTGCCATATAAAGTAAACTGGTTATATTGGTTATTTATAAAAAAATATTTTAGGTAATTTGAATTTTGAGTACGTTAAAATATGCTTTAAACTTTATTTTTATTAGATAATATTCTTTGGTCACATTGCTACTTTCTTCCAAGCTCACTGACCGGAATAATAATATCAACGTTAGTAAAATAATCGATATTTGAATGAACTATTCTAAGCTTCAAGCTTTATAAGTAATAAAAATATCCTGAGCCGCGTGATCTTGATATAATGATCGGGTATGTTGCAAAATTATACGTATACTGTACCGTAAAGATAACTGTAAAATAAATAATGAATACCATCTAATTCAAATTAGCTCTTTTTATTCTTTTTTCGCGTGAATTCTAAGGTCATTACATTTTTTGGTTAGCAGGCCTCAGAATTATGGTATAATGCCACGTGATACATCTCCACTTCTAGGTCACGAAAATGATTTAACGTTAAACCATTTTGTTTTAAATCAGCATTAGATGTTTGAATAAAATAATGATCATACCTTATCGAAAAATTTGATCGGACTTTATAAAGCAATACGTGTTATATAAGACTATGTATATATTCTATCACGTGTCATAATTATTCAGTCTGATAAGGTAAGGTTCGTAAACTTATTTCTTTTCTTCACTCAATAAATTTGGTGCGAATAAGAAAGATATAAAGATATAGCGATAATAATATTCATTATAATTTGAAGAGCTTACCTTAAATAAATAGATTTTCGGTGAACTAAATAAATAAGGTACATACGTATGATGTTGAAGAATGTAGAAACTAAGTCCAACACCTCGGGTATCCAGTTTGTGAGACTATTTTTTTTGACAAATTTAAGGAAAAAAAAAAAAATCCATGCGGCAGTGTCACCGAACGTCAATTCTATATAAGTCTGCGTGGCCTAACATTTGATAAATCAGTTTTTCTTTTTTTTAATTTTTCAATAGCTATAAAAAATGTCATATTCAATATTCGAATTATTCGAAATTTCACAATTCAATCTTAGTGCAATCATAATATTATTACTATCAGTCATCATTGCTTTTGCTTTCGCAAAACTTTTCTCTGACGATGAACCTATAGAATTCTCCGTACCGGTACCTGTTGGTAGGTAACAATTTAAATAGATATTAGAATGGTTATTAATAAATTGACATCAACTTCTTTTACAAGAGGCTAAACCTGGATGGGTCGGTGGAAAAATACTGGAAAAACCTAATATAAAGGTAAATAAATATTTTAAAAAAATGTTATCTTTATGATTTAATTAATCCGCTAAATTATCATTATTGTAATTATTAGGATCCACAAAAGCCGGGTTATATTACGTGTTATGATCCAGCAACAGGCAAGCTATTAGCCAATATACGTGCTCATACTGAACAAGATGTAATTGAAGCTCTAAAAAAAGCTCGTAATGCCCAAAAGAAATGGGCACAAACCACATTTAAGGAACGAAAAAAAGTGTTAAAAAGTTTGCTAAATTTTGTTGTTAAAAACCAAGAAGAAATTTGTTGGGCTAGTAGTCGGGATACTGGAAAGTCATGTAGGTTTTTACAAAAAAAAAAAGTTGTTTCGTATAGACTAATAATTTTGCATATATAACAGTGGTTGACGCGAAATTTGGAGAAATACTGGTCACGTGTGAAAGAATCAAATGGACCATTAAGAAAGGTGAAAAAGCATTATCTCCACAATTCCATGAACCTAGCGCGTTATTATTTTATAAAATTGCAAAGATTGAGTTTGAGCCGCTCGGAGTCGTTGCTGCCATAGTTTCATGGAACTATCCGTATGTGTTTAATTAAATCCTTTTTTTTATTAAAAAAGTAAAGTACGCCATAGTGCATCTCCTGAGATTGGTTAAACATAAAATGTTTTCAAATACAACGCTATACTGATGGCGTTAAAGGCATTAAAATTCTTAGATAATCACGTTGTTTTAATACTATTTAAATACAGTTTTCACAATATAATGGGACCGATAATATCTGCCTTATTTGCAGGAAATGGAATTATTGTTAAATCTTCTGAACAAGTAGCATGGTCATTGCAGTACTACAGTGAAATTGTTAGAACTTGTTTAATATCGTGTGGTCATGATCCGGATATAGTGCAATTTCTATGTGGATTTTCGGATTGTGGTGAAGCTCTCGTTAAAAGTGGAGTTGATGGGATAACTTTTATTGGGTGAAGTTTGAATATTAATTCGCATCAAATAATTAATTTATAACGATCCTTTTTATTAATTTTTCAATATTTTTGTTATTATCTTCAGTTCTCCACAAGTAGGTAAACAAATCATGTCATCATCATCTCCTACGTTAACACCCTGCACATTGGAACTAGGAGGAAAAGATTGTGCTATCCTTCGCCAAGATGTAAATCTAAAGCAAATAGTTCCGATTTTATTACGTGGAGTATTTCAAAATGCTGGACAAAATTGCGTCGGACTTGAAAGAATTCTTGTTCACGAAAGTATTTATGACGAATTCGTGACAATAGTTGAAAAAAGAATTAAGGAACTTAGAGTGGGATGTGCTTTGGATGATGAAGAAGGTGTTGATGTTGGAGCATTGACCACAAGCGATCAGGTACATTTTCCGTTCAATATTATTGAATGTAGTCTTATACCTACTGTACTTACACCTAAAATATTTCATACACAGTTTGACCGGCTTTCCACCCTAATAAAATCTACAGTTTTACAGGGTGCAAAATTACTTTATGGGGGTCATCCGTACATTCATCCCCTTTATCCAACCGCTCACTATTACATGCCCACACTTCTCATCGACGTAACTCCCGAAATGCCAATATCTCAAACTGAACATTTTGCTCCAATAATGGTAGTAATGAAATTCCGAACAGACGAAGAAGCAATTGAAATTGCAAATGCTAGTGGTTATGGATTAGGAAATAGTGTGTTTACCAAAGATCAACAAAGGGGCGAATGGATGGCAAGACGATTAAGATGTGGGATGGTTAACATAAATGATTTTGCAACTAGCTATTTGTGTAATTTACCATTTGGTGGTGTCGGTATAAGCGGATTTGGAAGGTAAATGGTTTTCATTTTGTTTTTTCGTTCATGAAAGTAATAAGATTTATACACTGGCGATCATAAATAATGCATCAAAAAAAAAAAATTCGTTAGATCGAATTTTCTCGCGCAATTCCGCG